CTGTGTCCTCACGTGGTCGTCCCCTGCATGGGTCTGTGTCCTCATCTCCTCTTCTTCTAAGGACACCGATCGGATCGGATCAGGGCCCGTTCCTCATTATTCACTTTGTTACCTCTTTAAAGACCCCATCTCCAAATGCTGCCACATTCGGAGGTTCTGGGGATTGGGGCTCCCAGTCCATAAATTTTGGGAAACGTAACTCAGTCCATGTCAGTTTTCCTGCCCAAACAATCAACAGTGTGGACGGAAAACCCTGGACTAGAGGTATGTGGGTGGGACTTCTGCACTTACTTTTTGCATCTCTACCCACATGCCGAGGCCCCTGGAGTCACCCGTGAAGTCTCCTTGAACGGTATGTTGTTCCACGGTGAGGCATCATGCTTATGCCCATGTTGGAGGGAAGACTGACCCACGTGGACACCGAGGTATGGAGATCTACAGAGTAACCTGCCCTTCCAGTCCCCAGAGGCACGTCTGGGTGATCACTGACAGCGACACGCACTTCAGTCATCCGTCCCCAACCACACCCTCCCCTTGCTTGAAAGGCCAGGACAGATGGCTCCTATCGCCACTTGGCTACCCTGCGGAGACTGTCGGCTCAGTCATAACCCGCAAGCTACCTGCACGTTACACTGGGGGGCAGCTAAGGGGAGGCTACGGCTCAGTCATAACCTACCTGTGGCCAAGTGTCTCCTATGAGCCTGCGGCTGAGGGGTTCCTGGGCACGCAAGGCTTTCAGTGTGAATCTAGTACAGCCCCAGGCCTGCTAAGGAGGACCTGGTCACTCCAGGCAGGAGAGAAGTCACCAAGGGTGTGTGTTATCAAACCTGAAAATAACTCAATTGCGAAACACTCTATAATGGACTGAATGTTTGGCCCCGCCCCCGGCCTCCTGACAAAATTCATAGGTCAGAGCCCTAATCCCCAATGGGATGGTGTTTGGAGGTAAGGCATTTGGGAGCATGTTTCTGACACCACTTCCTATTTGTGGATTCTCCCACACCACGAAGCGACGCTCCAACAGCAGTTGAGTGTCCTACAGTTCAACTCAATACGTGCCAGGTCCCACAGGTGAAGGGCTCAGTCTACAACCCTGCTCCTCCCACCATCGGATGCCAACTGCGGGCTCAGCTGGCCACCTGTGCTCCTGACCGAGCTGCTAGAGATCAGAGTTTCCCACCACTCCCTCGTGGGTTCCAGCAATTTGCTAGAGTGGCTCACAGAGCTCAAACAGTTTACTTACGGTTCACGGGACATGACAAAGGATACAGAGCAACATCCACAGGAAACAGATACAGAGGGCAAGGTACAGGGAACAGGCGTGAAGCTTTCGGGCAATATTCTCCAGGCACGTCCAACTGCTCACCAGCCTACAAGCTCTCTGAACCCCATCCTTTTTGCTTTTTTTTAATGGAGGCTTTATCACATAGGCATGATTGATTAAATCATTGACCCCTGAGGCCTGATTCAACCTCCAGACCTCTCCTCTCCCCAGATCAGGGGTGGGACTGGATGTTACAACCCTCTAATCACATGGTTGACGATGTGCCACCATCTTTACTTGATGCCTATGTGCATATCCGTAAAGAATGTAAGTATAACGCCCACGTATGACATATAATAAAGCACAAATATATGTATGCGCACACACACACGGAAAGATACGCATGCTTTGATGCGCGCCCTCCGCCCCTCCACCGTGACGTCTGAAGCCGCTCCCCTGCAAGTTCTCCGGCTAAAGGTATGTTGAGCCGTGCAAGGAATGCTGGCCGTTGGAGAGCGCACCGTGGGCTCTCCAAACTCCCCACAAAGCCTGACTGGTTCAACCAGCAGTGACCTCGAGCATCCCTCGGGGCTTGCCTGAACACATCTCTTTGAGACCCAGCCCTGGCCACCAGCTGCTCCCGGGGTCTGCACAGGGAACCCACGGGAAGGGCACCGTGCTTTAGCCTCACACTCCAGGGGACCAGGTCGGAGCTAGGGAAGAAAATGAGAGCTGCTCAGGCTGAACTGCAGAGCTGGGTCTGCACCCAAAGATGACTTGGGCAGTAAGCAGCCTTCCAAATACAACACAGAAAGCAAACACGTGCACGGAAGAACCAACGCAACAAGATAAAGAAGCTGAAATAAGCTAAGGCATATGTATCTTTTCGTTTTACGAAGAAAGGCACGTTTGAGTTTATTCATTGTGTGGGAAACGATCCTGCTTTTAAATGTGCACAATCCGTGCTGAACGTGTTTTTGATACCACCATACTAGAGTTGACTGGATCGTCTGCTGCATTTTAAAGTTGTCAGGAGGGGCACCTCGGTGGCTCAGCTGGCTAAGGGTCTGCCTTAGCGGGGAGACTGCTTCTCCCTCTCCCTCTGCCTGACACTCCCCCTGCTTATATACACTCTCTGTCAAATAAATAAATAAAAATCTTTAAAAAAAAATAAAGTTGTCAGGAAAAGCGAGCCATCATCCCACGGGGAACGTACAATCTTGCAAAAATAAATTGTAATTCGTGGGAGGAAATCCATCCTGCCTCTCCACAGAAGCTCTGACTGTTTGGAGAATTAACAAAAGTTAAAGTGCATCTGGTTACTTGCATAGAAACCACTTCAACTGTGAACACATTTTCAGTTTTTTCCCATCTAGCTTATGACAAAAAAGCATGACGGTTCTCACAGTTTGGTTTGCTTTTGTTTTTACAAAATAAAGAGGTGTCTCCGATCGTATGCAGGAGACGTTTCCAAAGAGTGTGGAAAACAAGGCTTAAAGAAAAAAAAATGATTCGGCCCATGTTTTTACGTCTGTGGAGAGGGTAAGTCCACAGGACTCCCCAGTGCATCTCTTCTGCAATTGCAACAAGGTTTTGCCAGCTCAGAGGGGGGAGAGGGTAAACTCTCAGCTGGTATTTTGGTTCCTGTAAGTGACCCAACTGGATTCTCTGCCAAGAGCCATGCCCAGAGCCACAGTGTTGGCTGGAACAGGGCAAGGCAGACAGACTCCAAATTTCTCTATCCCCGCTTGTGTGTCACCTTCGTCACCTGCATTTACGAGTTGTCTTATTTTTGCGGCATATCTGTCGAAATCCAGACAACTCCTGAAGCTCCTTGTAAGGAGCCAACTATCCCTGACACAGAGATCCGCCATATAGCTTCTAGGTTATTCCCTGACGTTCTGAATTCTTAAGTCTTGGCCCTGGAGGCTTTTTCTCCTCTTATCTAAGGAATCAACAGAACGGCAATGTTACAATGGGAGAGGAAAACATCCCCAACGGTTTCTAGAGTCTGTAGAAAATCTGGGAAGGAGAGTTCTACAGGCTCCAGGAAGTGAGCCCTGGCATACTGTAGGCATTAAAAAAAAAAAAAAAAAAAAAAAAAAAGTTGGAGTCCCAACACCTAGGTAGCTCAGGTGACTTTATTTAAAAATAAGAGTCTTCACCCAGGTAACTGGATTCAAGCTTGGGCATCAGGGTAGGGGGTAATTCGTGATAACTGGGGTCCTCACAAAGAGAAGAAACTTGGATGCAGAAATAGAGCCACAGAGAGGAGATGATATAAAGAAATGAGCTAAGAAGGCCATGCCCAAGCCAAGGAGAGAGAGGCCTGGAACGATGCTGTCCTCACAGCCTTCGGGAGGCGTGCATCCTGCTGCTGACACGTTGTTCTGCAAATTCTGGCTTTTCCAGAACCGTTCCGGAACACACGTGTGGTTCAAGCCACCCAGCCCGTGCAACTTCGTTAGCGCAGCCCAGCACGCTGCGTTCACAGCACCGTCTCTAAGCGGCTGAGGAACTGCCTTCTCGGAGGTCCACTGTCCCCAGAAAGAAATCATGCTTAGACTCTCTCCTAGCGAGGGCTCTAAAAAGACACTCATTCACTGACCACGTACTATTTGCTGATACGAAGAGCTTGACCTGCGTTGCCTCCTTTAACGCCCACGTTGCACACACAAAGAAACTGAGGCACAGAGGTTCCCGCTTGCTGAATCCAAGCTGCCCCAGTGCAGTTTTTTTCATTTTCTCAGAAATACACCGTCGTCTTTTAAAGCGTCTGGAACTTTCTAACGTCTGCTTCTTTATAAAGAGCTGCTATCCTTATGCGTATAAACGTTGCACATGCAACACCAAGCAGCACTAAACAGAAACGGACTCAAAAAGGTGTTGAGAGTGGCAAAAAAAGAAAAAATTCTTCCCAGGTTGCATTCGGAAAGAGTGGAGAAGAAAATTCTTTCTTGGGTTGCATTCGGAAAGAGTGGAGAAGGAAAAGGAAGTGAGCAAGGAAGGCCGAGGAGGCGGCAAGGCACGTCAACAGCTCGGCTCGGGCCCCGTGCTATCGGCCCCATCGGTCGGGGTCGCTTGGGGAGGACCGCGCGGGACCCCGGCCGCGACCGGCAGCCGCGGGGGCGGCAGAGCCTCAGCCCCGCTCGGCCCTGCGCATGCGCCCGAGGAGCCCCGCGGGGCGGCGGGCGCGCGAAACCGAGAGGGGACCCCGCGAGGGTCCCGGGACGGCCGCTCGGGACGACCGCACAGCAGGGCCCCTTGGGCGCCCCCCGCCCCCGCACAGCCGCACGCGCCGGCCCTCCAGGCGCGCCCTCCTTCCCTCCGCCCTCTCCAAACTCAAGTCCTGCATCCGCGCCCCCGGCCGGGAACGAGGCTCTGCGCGGCCCCGCCGGCCGGCGTGCACGCGGGCAAGCTCGGGCCTGTACGCGGTGCACCCCGACCCCGCGGCGCCGGCTGAGCGGACCGTCCAAAACGCGCCCGCGCGCGCGGGACACGGAGAGCGGAGCGCGCGCGCGCGCGTGCGTGCGCGGCTCGGGGGCGCGCATCCCACCACGCTCCAGAGACGCCAGAGGCGCGCGTACGCAGTACGGCTCGGGACGCGCAGCGTGGCCCCCAGCGCGCGTGCACGGGAGCGGCTCCGGGCGCGGCAGCGCGGAGGCTCGGGGTGCGCGTGCGCAGAGCGCCGGGGGGGGGGGAGGGGCTGGCGCGCAGCCCCAGAGCGCGCGTGCGCCGCCCGCGGCGGGCGCGCGCACCTCCCTCCGCCCCCACCTGGCCGTACCGGCGGCACAATGGCGGCTTCCGTACCCCCGCCACGGCCCGTCACCCACCTGCTCTTTGACATGGACGGCCTGCTTCTTGGTGGGTAGTCTGCGGCCGCCACCCGCGAGGGCTGTCCGGGGTGGGCGCGGGCGAGGGCGGGGGGCGCAGACGCTAAACCCCGAGGTCGAGTCCGGGACCCCCGGGTGGGCGGCGGGGGCGCCGGGGGCCCCGTCAGGCCGGCCGCGCGCGGGGCTCTGGCGTCGACGCCGCCCGGGGCGCTACTTCCGGTGGCCGCGCCGCGCGTGGGGACGGAGTGCGGGGGGGGGGGGCGGCGCGCGTGGGGGCGGTGCTCGGGGACCACCCTGCGGGCGGGAGGCTTCCTTCCCGCGGCGGGCGCCGGCAGCGCGGCCCGGCCTCAGTTTCCCCGCGGGCACGCCAGCCCAGCGGGCCCCAGCCGGCCTGCCCCGGGGCCGTCGCCGCGGGCGCCGGGGGGCACGCACCTTGCTGGGAGCACCCTGCAGGGCAGGGGGTCCTCCACCCGCCGTTTGGGGGGACTTCTGCAGGCGGTGGGGGTGACCTCGCCGGAGGGGGCTGTTGCTGGCGTCCCGGGGCGCGGTGAGGGTGCACAGGACCGCCTCACGGCCCGGCACATCATCCAGCCTCGGGTGTCTGTGCTGCGGAGGCGGAGGAGCCCTGGTCAGAGCCCTGGCCGCCCGCGGGGACCTGCAGCTCAGGCTTCACCTGGGGAGGGGCTTGGCAGGGCCGAGCGCGGGGCCGCACCCGACACTCGCCCGGTCGCCCCAGCGCAGTCTGCATCTTGGACCCGGGTGCACGGAAGTTCGAGGAGCTCCCCCGTGCTGTTGATTGGAAGGACCGTGAGTCCTCTTGCGTGCTCTCGGACAGCCCGATTGATAGCCGGTGGTCGGAGGCTGGCAGGTCACCGGCCAAGAAAAGTTCAAATAGAGTACAAAGAAGAAAACGCTCAGTGCATCCATCAGGAGAGAAGTAAAGCCTCCACATCCTGTTTCATAACACCATTAGGTTATGGAGTGTTCTGACCTCATAACCCCCAGCAGCCCTCCTCGCACTGTAAAAATCCCCCATTACTTTTGGTAGGCTCATGACCTGCTGGAGATGTTCACACATGATCTCTTCTTGTCCTAAGACCCTGCAGAGTCGGAGGGAATAGTTGCATTCGCTATACTGAAAACAAACACTGCAACTCAGAGAGCTTGAGTCACTTGTCCAAGGTCGCACAGCAAAGAAGGAACAAAGCCGAGGAAGGAGTCCAGATCGATCTGACTCTAAATATAGGCGACGGGTTCATCTTCCCGGGTCATTGTGACCTTGCCCCCCTGCCAATCATATTGCTGGGTGGTTCTGTGGTAATAAGACTGATTTTTTTTTTTTTTATTAAGGCACACCAAAAATAGTCACTTTACGAACCCAGGGATAGAAACGGATGAATTCCTAAGGAAGAAAAAATAAATAAATAAATAAATCCCCATAGAGGTCACTAATTGCAGAGAAAAGTGTATGCAGCTCCTAAATCATGGAATAACTCAGTTTCAGAAACCTCCTGGGATTCATAAGTATACTTTGTAGACATGAATTTTCCTGCTCAGGTGGTCAAGAAGTTAAAACTGTCAAATTCCTTACTCTCAAATGGAAGGTCCGAAAACCTGTTGTGGGTGTTTCATGAATATTAATGCAACCGAGATGTCTCGTTAAAATTAAATTTATTAAACTTCTAAATGAGCTGGCTGCTTACTTCTGGCTCCAGATTCAAACACAGCTGTTCCCTGAAGCCGTGAACATAGTGTCTGTGACCACGGTACCTGCAGGGGCAGCGATTAACTTAACCAAGGGCTCCACTCACTGGTTCAGGCCCCTTAACGGGCTAGCCCCTGGCAATGTTACCCAATCCTTTGAACTCGTTAGAGAACCAAGATTTAGTGCCATGTGGGAAGATTTTCTCCCTATTTTCTGCCCCTTTTTCTCCTCCCTGCTTTAAGTCTTCTTTGAGGTAGTAAGGCTTTGCGGGACTGTCTCAGAAATTCATTTACTCCATTCTTTTACAAAATGTCTTGTATAAAACACCGCTGTGCAGAATATACTGCTTTATCTCGTTCGGTCTAGCCAATTACCCCTGCTCTAGTTCTTCAGCTCCTGACTTCATCCCGAGTATCTGTTGTTTGCATAACCCTCTACCATCAGTTCATAATGAGTCCTTTTGCAGTAGGTCTGCTTTGGAGAACTGTGAATGCGTTTTCCCTGGAAGTTCCATTTGCCAGTGTAGCCCCCAGGACTGGGGTTCTCAGGGAAATGAAACCGGAAACAGTTAGTTTCGTGGGGAATGCTTATATTCTGGAGAAGCCTGTTTAATCAGAGGAGAATGAGGAAGTAAATGGAGATTTTTGTAGAAATGTTGACAATGCCAGGGCACTTTCCAGTACATTTGAAATAGGAAAGGCGCTTCCGGATTCTGTTTTTTGTTGACACAAGGCAACAGTCAACCATGATCCAGGTAATGATTTTGGTTCTCAGATGCCATTTAGAAAAGGAGGAAAGGGGACCGAGGTTGTTTATGAACCAGGACAAGATTTCGAAGGAAGAAGACGACAGGTATTCAACAGTTATCTAGGCTTCCGGATAGGGAACATCATCTAGTTGGTAAATGACTGAAATTAGGAGTACAAGGGGTGGGCCCCTTCTCTGTAAAAGACAAGAAGTTTGTTCCACGGAGCACTGCTGTCTTCATGGAAGTAAGACTGCATGAAACGTTGCACAGCAATACTAAAGAAGGAAAAAGGTACAGATGAAATGAGCTTGAGTGGTCTTATGTTTTCCTCTCTGAACATATCCAAAGTACTGTTACTCGACACATCAATGCAAAAATCCCCCAGTCTGAACATACCCAGAATCCAATATGCAAAATACTCCCCCAGATCTATTACATTCATTTTTGAGACCTAGTCTCTGAAATCTGTGTGTATTTTACACTTACAAGCATATCTCAGCTCAAAGTAGCCACATTTCAAGTGTTTCTCAGCCACGTTGGGTGAATGCCTGTCGTATTGGACGGTCCCATGCGGGGCTTTAGGAAGCAACCCATGATGTCTCCTATTGATAGCGGGGCCAGGCGGAGAGTGGATGTTAAGAATATTCAGAACGTTGGACTATGTAAAATGTAGTGCACGGGAAGTGTGTTTTCTAGGCGTCTGATAGTGATTAACATCCATTAAAAATTAGCAAAGAGAAACCAGCTTATGTTTACATTCTTAAAAATCCAAAAATAATAAGAGAGACATCTGTGCAAGGACATGATAAGAAGATTTGCACTGTTGGTTATAATTTACCACGTCTCCGTCAATGCACACAGTTCCAGGATTTCAGCGGCTGACGTGTGGCTTCTCCTTTGCGTAGTAGAGCAGATGACCTGTGCGGGACGTCTTTGTGCTCCCTCAGTTCCCGACCTGAAGGTCCCTGTGTGTTTGGGGCCCCGGACAGCCTGTAAGCTCCAGGGAGGGACAGGGCCCTTGTGGCTCCCGCTGAGCTCAGAAACCGGCTGCTTGACTGGCCCGCATCACCGCCATGCCCAGTCTGTGGTCAGAATCCATGTCACTCTGTGGTTCTCCTGTTCACCTCGCCTAGGCTAATTTCTTCCCGCCCTGGAGCATCCGTGGAGCGGATGACGACAACGGAATTTCCTTCTACAGTGTTAGTGCATGCTCCGGATTAATTTTCGTAGGAACCAAAACACACTGTCATCTGACCCCCCCAGGTGATATGTATGAGATTTTTTTTTAAAGTGGAGGCAAGAAGCTTTTCAGTGTATCCGTTGCTTTTTCTCTTTTATCCTGTCGACACACTCCCAGGGTCCTGGCAGCTCCTCAGGAAGGTAGAGCAGAATAAAGGATTGTTGAGGTGCCTCTGTATGCGATTCTTGATAGATTCTCGTCTGCCCTGAGAGCTTGCTGAGATCCCCCTGGGTGCGTGAGATAATCATCGCATGCATGCTCTGCATTCTGGAAACTCCCTTCCTTGTGTGCCCTGGGGTCTGGTGCTGGATTCCAGGGGCTGCTATTCACATTCTTTCTGCCCTGCTCCCCTGGGAGCTAAGGGCACGTGCTGGGGTTTTAGTCCAGCTTGCTAGGTGAAACTTAATTAAGTTCCTTCCACCTCTGCAAAGAAGTGTGCCGAAATTTGGAGGCCAGTCGGAGGCCTGGCGGTGGAGGAGAGCCCACACCCGAGGCGGCCCTGACTCCCGACTTTCTCAGTCTGGAGTAAGATGCTGGTGGGGGCCCCGGGCAAGGACCCTCCCGGAAGAAGGGACTCTGTTTTATGTTGTAGACCACTCCTCAGGAACAGTGGACTGAAGCTGGTAAACTCTGTTCCCTTTGGGGATGCTTTCTAGTAGACCTGAACTGGGCCCCCCTCAAGTTTGGTCTTGTAGTTGGTGGCCACTTGACGAGTGGTCAGTGCAGCTGCTCCTCTTTCGAGAATAATTGAGATAGCCACATGGCAGAACGGTGCTGAGCAACGGGAGCTTTGTCCGGCTGGCAGGATGACTGACCTGCAGCAGGTCCCTGTCAGTGCAGGCGTGGGATGCCCTTCCCTTGCTTTTTCTCCCACATCCCTTCACCTCACACCTCTGTTGGACACCCGAGATTCACAAATGCTGTCGTCACAGGACACCCACCTTCCTCTTACTTTCTCATGATCCAGTTTTTACTTTGTTCCTCCTTTCTCCTGGAAAGGCAGTGCATTGAGGACTCTTTGGTCTGTTTTTGTCTTTCTGATTACGTGCCTTTTACTCTGATTCTTTTTTTTTTTTAACTACTGTGATTTACATTATGCTCTGTCATTGTCCAGGGGTAGGTGCAGATTTAAACCCTCATAAAAAAGCAAGGGAAATGATGCCCCCAAGAAGCATCCACTAAAAGCGCTCATTACATAGATGCCCAGATGATGCGTCACACCTTGGGGTGAAGTATTTGAAAAGGGATTCAGACACAGCCCATAGCCGGAAAATAGAATGTCGTTCCAGAGTGGATTACGTTTGAAGATAAATTTCCTACTGACAAGTGTACGTGTGTACCAGTGACTAGTAATTAGAGCATTTGATCTATGGAAACCTTCACTTAA